TCTGAGAAGGGCCCCGTGCTGGGTTTCCTGCTCTGCTGTTGCTGTCTTGTAATTCTCAATTTTTGAACCAGAGCCTGCCTTTCCATTTTGTCCAGGGTCCCACAAAGCACGTAGCTGGTCCTGTCTGCGGCAAAGTGAGTTCCAGGCAGAGGGTCCATCATGAGTGGGCAGGGGTTGGCATCTTGGAGTCTGGAGTAGGACAGCAGGGCATGGTCCTGGGCATGCTGGTACTGTCTTGAGCAGGTGTTGAAGCTCTCAGGGCTTGGCAGGGATTTAAAGTTGACTCTTTTTTCTTGTTTGGGAGGGTGGTGGGGGTTGTTTCCTGGAAGTCTTAGTCCCGTTTCCTCTTAAAGCAGAGCCTGAAACAGAGATTCAGGTGCAAGGAGTCTGGGAGGGAACCCGAGGAAGTAGAGTGACAGGAAGGAGGTTGCTGCTTTAGGTAACGGAGCCTGGGTTCAGGAAGGCCAGCGGGCAGACAGAATGAGTTGTCTTCTTTCAGACGGGAGGTGGGGGCTTTCTCCAATTACTCCCACACACCACTGGGTGAGGACTGGCCCAGGATGTTAACTGCTTGCACCTCTAGTCTGTGTCTAAGGTAGCAGGCTGGGGGGCCCCCACAACTTCAGAGGGTGCCCGGAGGCAGGAAAGTGGAGGGTCACCTGATGGGACTGGGTGGGCTATGGTCAATGTGCTCCTTTTCATCCTGTTCAACTCATCCCAAGGGGCCATAGGGCAGTGACTCTCTTCCAGAAATCAGTCCCTCCGCACCACGCTCCCACTACCTTGTTTGTGGCTGAGGCTGTGGTCATGAGCCAGACTCCCCGGGTCTGCATCCTGGCCCTGCTATGTGTACAAGGCGGGAATGGCTTCCATAATGCTGTGCAACAAACTGCCTTAAAATTTGAGGCTTAAAAGAAACCTTTATTTTTCTTACTGAATGGCAAAGGGGGAAGTAAAGAATTGAAATAGAGCGACACTTGGCATTTATTGAGCAGTTACTGCACCAGGCGCTGTAAGCACCTTGCATGCATGTCATTCACTCACCAGCCCTATGTAGCGGCTCCTATTACCCTGGTTTTGAGTTGACAAGACTGATGTCCAGAGAGGTTACGTAACATGCCCAGGGGCACCCAGCTGGTGAGTGGTTAGAGCTGGTGTGAACCTAGGCGAATGGATGACCTTGTTTGGGGGAAGAGACAAGAAGGAGTTGGGGAAAACTCAGGCACCACATTCATCATTTCTCTCACTTTGGGTCCACTGAACCCTTCCTAGAGGTCTCCCAGCTCAGAGCCTGACTCTTGAGGCCTTTTCGCTCCTGCAGGTACTTCACTCTGGCCTGCCCAGGAATCTGGTATTGCTGGGGCCCTGATCCTCTGAGGACTGAGCCTGGTACCTGGGTTGGCAGCCAGGTGATGCGCAGGTTACCCCCTATGCCCAGGTTTCTAAGCTCAAAGGGTTATAGGGGTCTGGGCCCCCAGAGCAGCGTGTCATCAGGCCTTGCCCAGGTGGCCAGAATGCTGCCAAACTGTCCAGTCTGAGCTGGGACCATAGGGAGGGAGATGCCTGGGCTGGGGAAAGGAGCTGGAGCCGACAGGGAGACGTCCCTGCCCACAGCTTCCCTCGGTGATACCAGCGCTGTGGGGCCGATAAGAGCAGGCTTGGATCCAGGCCCGCCACTGGCCAGCCAGTTGGCCTTGGGCAAGTAGCCAAATCCTGAGTCTGTTTCCACATCCATGGATTGAGATGACAGAACACCACCATGGACCTACAGCACATGGAAGGAGTTTTGCATCCGTAACTGCTCACTGTCCTTATTTTTATTATTTTTATCATTCAGCTCTCAGATATTCACATCCAAGTCTCATGGTTAAGTGACCTCTCTCTGGCAAGCATACCTCCGGATCTGCTCCCCAGAACCTGCGTACAACTGGTCTCTCTCTGTCACCCAGGCTGGAGTGCAGTGATGTAGTCATAGCGCACCACAGTCTCAAACTCCTGGGCTCAAGCGACCCTCCAGCCTCAGCCTCCTGAGTATCTGGGATTACAGGCATGTACCATCATGCCCTACTAATTTTTAAAATTTTTAAAAAATATTTTGTGGAGATGTGGTTTTGCTATGTTGCCCAGGCTGGTCTTGCACTCCTGGCCTCAAGCAATTCCCATGCCTCGGCCTCCCAAAGTGCTGCAATTACAGATGCGAGCCGCTGTGCCTGGCCTGGTCTCATTTTTTCTATCCATAAAATGGGGGTTGTAAGAGTGGAAAGAGGGTAATCCTTTCCCTCCCCTCATCAGAGCCATGGCTGACACCTCTATAACAAAGAAAGACTAACAAGAGAAAAGCATAATATATTTATTTGATCATAGTTTTACGTGACACAGAGCCTTCAGAATGAAGACCCAAAGGTACAGGGGAAACCATCCATTTTTATGCTTAGATTAAATGAAGCATGGACAACTGTAGAGACACGATTGGACAAAAAGCATGTGATCTGATGCTAACAGACTGAGTGGGGAGACCCAGCAAGGCCTGTCTGTCTAGATTTTTCTTGGCCTCTCTGAGCTGCATTCCTTCCTCCTGGGTAGGGGGCAGGACCCTTCTAGAATTGAGAGTCTTTTATTATGTTTTAACTTTTTTCAACAACCCCTTCCAAGTGAGTTATGAGGGTCTTAATTTCTTTATGACTGGCTGTTACACAGAAAGGTAGCGGGAAGGGTAGGTTAGGTCAATATTTTCAGGCTACATCTGGCTTCGGGGAAAAGAGGGTTCTGGTTTCTCTGAGCAGCCTTGGGAAAGAGGGATTCTATTAATGGTTTCTGTGGCTTAGGGGCGAGAGACAGGAGGGCAGGAGAAGGTCAGAGAGACTGCTTTTGGGGCTGTTTCTTAGGCCTTCACTGTGGGGTATCGTTTTCTGACTTTCTGACCACAGGGTCATCACACTCACCTCAAAGGAATGCAGGAGGCTCACGCGAGATAATATATAAGTCCCTTGGCACCTCTCTGAGCCTCAGTTTCCCAATTAGTAAAATGGGTTAATTATAGTGCCTGCTTCATAGGATTGTCTGGATCAAAGAGGTAGTCACAGAAACTGTTTAGTGTACCACTCACATGGCAAGAGCTTAACAAACTGTAGCTTTTAAAATGAGCCCAGCACAGAGCAGGTGCTCCAAAAATGAAAGCCGATTCCAAGTCACCTTCTGCGTTTTAAATTTTTATTTACTATGTTAGAATGTATTCTATTGTACAGAATATTTTCTTGGGCCAGACATGGTGCCTTGTGGCTGTAGTCCCAGCTACTCGGGAAGCCAAAGCAGGAGGATCGCTTGGGCCCAGGAGTTCAAGGTTGTATTGAGCTGTGATTGCACCACTGCACTCCAGCCTGGGCAACAGAGCAGGAGCTTCTAACAGAGAATATATATGTCTATATATGTACATATATGTAGATATACATATAGATATATTTTCTCCATAATATCTTTACTTATTTTAATTTCCTATATTTTATCTGTTCTAAATGAGGCTTTTCTATGCTATTTTTCCTATCCATGTGAGTAAAAGAGATTTAACTAATTTTATGGGTTTGTCTGAACCTGTTGAAGGAGAGATAGGTTTCATGCTATTACATTGTGATTATGTAAGTTTCATTATAATATAATAGAAGCAATATATGTTCCTTTAGTACTTTGCAGTGGACAAAAGAGCCTTCATGCCCATTGTTTTATTTAATTCTCCTAACAATCGTGTCAGGTTGGTGGCATTATTCCCAATTGACAGTTGGTAAAACTGAGGACCCAGAGAGAACAAGAAGACTTGGTTAAGATCCCATGATGAGTTGGGGGTAGCATTAGGACTCAGATCCTGTCATTGGGCTTAGGCATCACAACTGCCTCTCCCAGGGGACACAAAGCTCCCTGAGGGCAGAGTAGAGTCATTGGCTATGTTCTCCCAAGAAGGGGGCGGGAGTCTCCACACTCTGCCTGGTCCAGGTATTTGCACAGCAGAGGATGGGGCAACCCAAGGGATTGTTGATCCAGTGTTTATTGAAGGCCTACTGGTGCTCCCAATCCTGGGAGAAGGTGTGACGATAGGGAGTAGAGAGTGGGTGTTTTAATACAGGTCCGGACATGTGCACTGGCTGGGCAGACCAGGGGAAGCTGCCAGAGGTGGGGGGGAAGGCTTTGTGTGGGAGTTGAAATAAGCTGGGGTGCGGGAGGAGCTCCCCAGCAGAGAGATGAAGGTGCCAAAGTAGCCTTGTGAGGGGTGGGCTGGTAGGGTGAAGTGACTGGGGAGTGGGCCGGGGCTCTGGCTGGGAAGGTCGTGCACTCTCCTGCTACAACTGTCCCCCACCTTCCCATGCCAGCTGGGCCCAGAAACTGTAGCTTGTGCTTCCGCGGTCCGGCTGGGAGACCCGCTCAGCCGCAGCCTCAGCCGAGCTAAGGAACTCCGGGCACCGCTGTCTGGGCCTCCGTCTCCCGGGCTGGGCGACTGCAGGGAGTCCCAAGGCTCCGGGCGGGCGACTCCTCTCGCCTGCGCGTGCAGCGGGGGTGCGGGGCCGGGGTCGCGGGCTGCCGGCCCAGCGTCCGCAGCGCCGAGGCCGCCTGCCCTCCCCCGGCTCGGGGCGGGGCCGCCGCCCGCGGCCCTTTATCTGCCGGCTCGGCCGAGCCCGCCGCCCCGGCTCTCCGGCTCCGCTCCGCCACAGGTAGGGCCTGCGAGGAGCGGGTGGCGGGCTGGACGCAGGAGGGGAGCTCCGCGTGGGGAGGGGGACGCGGGGAGAGGACAGGCAGGACAGCAGAGCCGGAGGGGAGCACCTCCTGCTCAGAGCGAGAGGACTGGGGGGTCGGATCCCGGGCAGGGCCAGGCAGGGGGAGCGATGCTGGAGCGGCTGGGGAGAGTGGGAGGAGGAGCAGCGAGGGGCTCGGGCGGGGGTGGGGGGGAGTCGGCTGGGCAGGGGGCAAAGATGCGGGCGAGGGAGGCCTCGGGTGGAGGGATGAGAACAGCGTGTATCTGGGGACAGGGAGGGGTGCAGCGCATGGGGACACCCCTGGGGGAGAGCGAAGGTGGGGAGGGCGAACCGGTGCCCGCGAAGACAGTGGTCCTGGAGGACAGGCAGGAAACTCGCTGCTTCCTGGAGGAGGAATCTGGGTGAGAATGGGGACGAGAAGGGTGCGGGTGCCCCCACCTGGGTGACCGGAAGGGTCCCAGTTGGGGAACCAGGAACAGTGGGAAAAGCACAGCTGGGGGCCCAAAGGAGCTCTTGCTTCAGAGGCCCAAGCAGACCGGACTCCTCGGGATGGGGAGGCCTCTCTGGTGCGGGAGGGCCTGGAGGTTCCCCCACACAGTGAGGGAAGCGGTTAGGGGCCCCACGCTGCCCACGGCACCGCCCCAAGCCTGCAGGCTTCGGAGAGCCCCAGAGATTTCTCTGGGGCAGCCCCCAAGACCTGCAGGGCTAGGTCAGGCCGAGGCCTTGGAGTCTGAGGGGTTTCCTGGATTCTCAGTCTGGCTGCTCCTGGGTGGGTGGCTCAGGACACGGTTTCTGAGCTCCTATCAGAGAGACCCAGCTTCCTGCGTCATGTTGCTTGTGCCACTTCTGGGCCCTCTTATTGGGTGGTTGTCCCTCTCTAGCCTCAGTTCCCCTGCCCAGAGGGGCCCTCGCTGGTCAGCAGTGAAGCTCAGGTCCCTTTTGTGTGGCGTGTGCTGGGTGACTGACTGTACAGCCAGCTCATCCAACCGCTCTGGGCTGGAGAGAGTCCCCTTCCTCAGCAGTTGTGAGTCTGAGCTCCACAGAATGTCTTTAAGAATTATTTCATTCAGATCACATTTCCCAGTACAAATGGAGGCCCAAAGAGCTGTTACAAAAAAACAAAAACAAAACCCAAAAACAGTTTCTGTTCAATTTTGGAAGATATGGAGGGAGTTTTTCCTTAAACTTTTGGGTTGAGTTGGGGAATTGGTTTGCATTGAGGGAGGTGTCCTGGTTGCTAGGAGATCAGGAGGCCAGCCAGGGATGAAAACTTTGCCTGTTTAATCTGTAGCCACCCATGGGTGCCTGGAAGTCGTCCATGGTGGATGTAGGGCAAAAGCACTAATTTTGGAGCCAGACAGTCATGCTCTGCTGTTCTGCCCCTGGGCTGGATAGACAGGGTACAGGTTGGCCGTGGGTACAGAGAGTTGTGAGAGAGGTGAAATGCGTGTGAAAGTTCTTGGTAAACAGCAAGCCACTATAAATTATTAATGGCAGCACCTAATCTCATTAAAAATGTTTCAGCCTCGTCATCCTCGTCAGGACTCCTCAAGAGAGTTTACCTCTGACAACCCCAGTGTCAGCATTGTCTGGCCTTCTTATTTTTATCTAATGGGGTTAGACTTTGCATTCCATGGGGAGATAAAGTTGTCTTTAACAGAATATGCTGAACAATCAGGGCCCAGAAAAGCAACAATGAATATTTTGTTTGAAGGAGGCAAAAGAGGAAGTGGAATTCTATAACCAAATAATACTTGCAACAGGTGTCAGGCCCGTGGTCCCCAACCTTTTTGGCACCGGGGACCTGTTTCATGGAAGACAGTTTTTCCCTGGATGGGGCTTGGGGGGCTGATTTCTGTATGATTCAAACACCTTACATTTACTGTGCAGTCAAAGCTCTCTACTAACCGGCTCCACCTCAGATCAGCAGGCATTAGATTCTCCTAAGGAGTGCACAGCCTAGCTCCCTCGCAAGCGCAGTTTACAGTAGGGTTTGGGTTCCTAGGAGAGTCTAATGCCGCTGCTGATCTGACCGGAGGTGGAGCTCAGGCGGTGTTGTGAGCAGAAGCTTTGTGCCATTACCTCCTGCTGTGCGGCCCTGTTCCTAACAGGCTGAGGGCTGGCACTGAGGGGTTAGGGACTGCAGAGTTGGGCTATAAGCTCCAAGAGGGCAGGGCATTAATACCCTGAGGTGTTAACCCTTTGGTATTGATTCCCTGGGCTGTAAATTCTATGAGGGCAGCATTTTAAATGGTTCAGTTCACTGTTGAAGCTCCAGTGCCTAATGCATAGTAGGCCTAAAATAAATGTTGTTGGAGTGTCACAGGTCCTGAGGGGCCTTTGAAGTCACTGGTGAATTCATTCCCTCCTTTGACATTTTGGAGAAATGGCCACAAAGGAAGGGGACTTGTCCAAGGTCACACAGGGATTGAGTGGCTGGGCCAGATGAGAATCCAACAAAAACAGTGGAGCCAACACCTAACATCCATGATGTTTTTTGCTTTCAGAAGAGCCCAAGAGGTAGCTATTTTCATCCTCTGACTACAGCTGAGAAAACAAACTCAGAGAGGTTCAGGAACTTTTGCAAAGTTGCACAGCTGGTAAGTTCCAGACCTGAAATTCCAACCTCACATAAAAATGGGGATTCTGGCTTCTCTTGAAACAGTCTGCCAGAGATGAGTAGTGGCCTCCCACCCTTGGGATGGTGGCTCTCTTCAGTTCTCTAGGGTCGCCACCTGGGTGGCTTCCCTCCTGGCTGGATCTTCCTAGGCCTACGGGCGTTTGTGTGGCTGAGCTGGTTGGGGCAGGGAGCCTGGCTGCTTCATTCCCTGTGTGCCTAGCCCCGTGGCATTGTGGCTGGCATATAGTAAGCACTGAGTGAAATCTGTGGGACAGGGGTCACCTAGGGCTCTCCCTCCCCAAAGCCCATTTTCCACCCTGTTCCCCCAACCTGCTCTTCTGTTTCTCCAAGGGGGGTTGTGGGCCCCTTTGACCAGGAGGAGCTAGAGGTGGCAAGCCTTGGTTGAGGAGGGAAGTGGGGAGTCTTGACCTTGAGTTGCAGAAAAGGGGGATAAGAATTGGGAGAGCTGGGGAAAGGGAAGGGAGGGAGGGGAGGGATTTGCTCCTCACACAGAGGAACTCCCATTGGAGCCAGCCCAGAAACCTCCCAAACCTCCTGCAAGACATGCCCAGGCCAGGCCACATGCCTTTTGGATTACCTGCTAATACAGTGTACCCTCCTGCACTCTGTCACTCTGGGGCAGGCTGCCGGGGTCCTGGAGTTGAGGTCCTGTCCCCTGGGGATGTACTGCCCAGTTACCTCTTTTGGGCAAGGGCCAATTTCCAGGGCTCTGTGAATCCAGGGCAGGTACTCTGAATGGTCTTTGCTGAGAATGTTTAATTATTAAGTAAGGTCGGTGTCCTCAGAAGTCCATATCTAGCCAAATTTCCCTGGTCTTTAAACACATCCCTAGAGATAAGGTATATGTTTAAGGAGACACAGTTAACTTTCTGAGCATCCCCAATCCAGTGGAATTAACTATTGAAGGCTAAAAGAGGACAGAGAACCCCAAGCAAATCTCTCAGGCTGAGGATATTTCAAATTTTACTACTATTATAATTATTAATAATGTTAATCATTTATTGAGTCCATAAACTAAGCTAAATTTTACTTTAATAAATTTAAGTTTTACAGCAATATATGCAGTAGATAATATTTTAATTCCCATGAGGGAGCTAAGGATCAGAGAAGGTGAGTCATTTGTCTGAAGTCACACAGCATGTTATGGAATCAGGAGTCAAACCTGATTTGTCTGCATCTGAAGTCCATCTCCTTCATGAGCCTTTATAGTGTCTGTTTTCTCCTTTATTCCTAATTCCTTCCATTCTGATTCCCATTCAGTAGGGGACAGGAGCCAGCCAAGTTTGCCTGACATCCATCAACCAGGTCCTGGACACGTGGTCCCAGCCCAGCTTGGCCCTTGCTTTGCTGTTGTGGGTAAGTCACACTTTTCAGCCAGCTCTCAGTTTCCCAATATGTCCCCCTCAGAGGTTAAAGGTGAGCTTCTTTCTGCAGCAGAGGCCTGGCTAGGAGGGTATACAGCCTGGTTTCACCAACGTGCAGTGGCAAAGGTGGGGAGAAGAGAGGTCTGGGGGGTTGTCTTCAGCCCCACCCTCTGGTGGCATCATACAAGACACCTCCAGTCTCTAGAAGCCCCGCCCCTAGAGACCCTCGCCTGTGGAAGGGACACCCAGTGCTTGGCATCTGGTGCATTTGCCCAGTCCCACAGCAGAAGTCGTCAGCCCCCAGGCTTGAGAGAAACTCCCAGGTACCCAGTGCAATTTGGAGGGGCCCCGTGGAGGTGTCCTGGGCTGGGCTGCTGGAACAGGCAGGGCCTGGCAGCCTGGCAGGTGCACTATTCAGAAGCAGACAGCTCAGAGGACAACAAAATGGGCAGAATAATACCTCGCAGGCAACTGATGAGGATTAATTGCAACAAGGCTATATAGAGTGAGCACACAGTAAACGCTACATTTCAATATAATTACTGGGAAAGGAATCCTTGGTCACATGAGCTTGGCAAGTATAGATTCAGCAGAGCTAAGCAGACTTCTTTGCTGTAGGACTTCTCAGAGCCTTTAATGTGCTGTTATGCTTGGACAGTTCCAAGAGTGGGATATGGAGCATAGGATTGGACTTAACAGATCACAGGGACTCAGGAACTAGGTGTCTACAGGGCACCAATGGGTTTCGTCATCCCTCGATCTTTGTCCCCAAGGTGGAATAGAAACCTTGCTGGGTTGGACAACTCTGGGAAAGGCCTTCCTATCTCTGGGCTCTGGTTTAATATAAAACAAGGAAGCTGCAATAGATGCTTTCAGAGGCCTTTTCTGGCCCCATGAGGTTCCGGGTAAGGAAGACAAACTTGTGGACAAGGGTGGAGGCCAGATGATGAAGGCCAAAGCCTAATCTCTTAGGGAAAGGAAGCAATCCAGCCCCAGCTCCCCCACCAGCAAGGCAGGCCAGGGGGCATCTCATGCTCTGGACTGAAATGGCCCCAATAATTAGCCTCTCAGGATTGTCTGCTTCCTACACCTGCCTTGTGCCAGGCTCTCTGGGGAATAGGAAGTAGAAGAGTCCTGTACTCCCTGTTGCAAGTAGCACCCCCAGTGCAGCAGTGTGGGGATTTAGTAACTCCTGCCTCCCCGCTGGACCAGGACAGGCCAGGGCCAGAGCTGACTCCAAATCCCAATGCAGCAGGAACTGGGGGTGCAGGTCAGGCTGGAGAGAGTGTGTGCTGGGGGCATCGATCATCATGATGCTGCCTTTGGGTAGCAAGCACTCTGTGTTTACTTGAGTTGTGTATGGATTATTTGAGTGGGTTCAAGGGCGATCACAGTGCCGCTGGTGGCAGAGAATGTGACTGCCTTATCTTGCCTGAATCTCGTGGCCATGTACAGTGACTGGGGCAAAGGTGGTTACAGTGGATGAACCTGAACACTGAGTCCAATAAGCTTGTTGCGGGAATTTATTTGGCAGGGGGCAAGAAATTGTCTGGCAGGGTTTCCATTAGATATCTGAGTTAATGAATCACGCAATGAATGAAGATAAGCTTGAATCACGCAGCTGATGCCATACAAAACCTTGATGTGGTGACCAGGCATGCCACCTTGTCTTGCAGAGGGCAGTTAGGGTAACGGTTAAGAGTGCAGACTGAGTTCAGAGCATGCCTCTGCCACTTCCTGGCTAAGGTTGAGTGGGCAAAATACTGCACTTCTCTGTGCCTCAGTTTCCTTATCTTGGAAATGGGAATAATGTTAGTATCTACCTCACACGTTGTTAGGAAGCTTATAGCAAGTGCTGTGTAAGCCTTTGCTGTGATTTGTTTTCCTTTCTGTAACTTCTGGCAGATGATGAGGTTTCTGAGGGCCGGGGTCAAATCCTTTCCCACTCCCACCTCCTCTCCCAACCCAGCACAGGGTATGAGGCAAAGAAGAGCTCAGTGTTTGCTAAACGAATGAATGAATGTTGTAAAGGCTAAATTGTGCGACTCATCATAGGTCAGGGGAAGGTGGAAGGCAGCAGTGAGGAGGTCCCCTGGAGGTGGCAGCATGTCCTGGCCTTATAGGATTTCAGTGCAGGGACAGGAAGATGGCACAGGGTGTGACGTTGGGCTTACATGGGAAATGAGGGCCTTCAATGCCAGGATGAGGGCTTAGATTTGATTTGTTTGGAATTAGCAACCGCAGGTGGTGGGGCAGGGGCTGGAGAGGGGAACCTGATAATGGGTTGCAGGCTCATCAGTGGTTAGCTGGGGCCTTTCAGAAACAAAGTGGCTTTTTGAGTTGGGCCTTGAAGGGTATGCGTAGTTATCAGAATGCTATTATGTTGTTTTCATTCAGTGAACATTGAGTGCCAGCTACTTGCTAAGTACCAGAGTTTCACACAATAATAAGACAAATAGCCTACCCTCCATGAGCTCCCATGAACAATTTGAATGTCAATGAGAAGTGTTATAAGAGTCAAAGGATGGTCTGATGGCAGGCACTCAGTCAAGTAGGGGGTCATCATAGGAGGCTCAGGGGGCCCGGGAAATCATCACAGAAGAAATGGGTTTTGAGGAGTGATTAGGAGTTTGCTTAGAAGGCAAGAGGAGGAAAATGTCTCAGGCATAGGGAACAGCTTGTGCAAAGCTACAGGCATGGAGACAGCAGTCCAGGGGTTTGGTGAGGCTGTGACTGGATTTGAAGTGTGCTGTGGTTGAGCAAGATGCTGGAGAAGGTAGCAGGGACCAGAGCATGTAGGGTGGCAGAGGGTCAGTGGGAGCCCTGGGCCACTCTGAAGGGGCTATAGGTAGAGGCGGTGGGTGTGTTAGCAAGGTCATTGTCACCACCAGGTGAACACTGATGGTGGCACAAATACAGGCTGAGAGAGCCTGTCCCCATCTCATGTGTTCCACATGTCCACATGGCCAAATCTGTACGTTAGGAGAGAAGACAGCTGGGGCTGCTGCGTGGAGCCTGGGCTGGAGAGGAAATGACCGAGGCAGGCAGCCCTGTTAATTCATGTGTTCCTCAAACATTTACTCAGCACCTGCCGTACGGTGTCTCGGGCACTGTCCCAGGTACTTAGGATACATCAGGGAACAAAACAACGACCCTTATTCTGACAAGGTCAGAGCTGAGCTCCTCCTTAGGATGACTCTTCTCCCCTTAAACCCAGAGTAGGGCTGAGGGTGTGGGGAGGAGGGAGTAAGGCCTGGCCCTCAGAGCCCCCCGGCTGCTGCTCATGGGGGTAAGGAGGACACCAGGCCTCTGACCCCACTCTGGCCTCTCTCCCAGCACCCTGCCCAAGCCCACAGCCATGGCCATGGCCCAGAAGCTCAGCCACCTGCTGCCCAATCTGCGGCAGGTGATCCAGGGGCGTCAGCCATCTCTGCAGCCAGAGCCCGTCTTCACGGTGGACCGAGCGGAGGTGCCGCCCCTCTTCTGGAAGCCGTACATCTACGTGGGCTACCGGCCGCTGCATCAGACCTGGTGCTTCTACTTCCGCACGCTTTTCCAGCAGCACAATGAGGCGGTGAACGTCTGGACCCACCTGGTGGCGGCTGTGGTGCTGCTGCTGCGGCTGGCCATGTTTACAAGGACTGTGGACTTCTGGGGAGACCCGCACGCCCTGCCCCTCTTCATCATCGTGCTCACCTCCTTCACCTACCTCTCCTTCAGTGCCTTGGCTCACCTCCTGCAGGCCAAGTCCGAGTTCTGGCATTACAGCTTCTTCTTCTTGGACTACGTGGGGGTGGCCTTGTACCAGTACGGCAGTGCGCTGGTGCACTTCTACTACGCCATCGAGCCCACCTGGCATGCCCGGGTACAGGCCATTTTCCTGCCCACGGCCGCCTTTCTCGCCTGGCTGTCCTGCGCTGGCTCCTGCTGCAGCAAGTTCATCCAGAAACCAGGCCTGCTGGGCCGCACTTGCCAGGAGATGCCCTCGGCGCTGGCCTACGCGCTGGACATCAGCCCCGTGGTGCACCGCATCTTGGTGTCCCCTGGCCCTGCCGCGGATGACCCAGCCCTTCTCTACCACAAGTGCCAGGTGGTGTTCTTTCTGCTGGCTGCTGCCTTCTTCTCTGCCTTCGTGCCTGAGCGCTGGTTCCCTGGCAGCTGCCACGTCTTTGGGCAGAGCCACCAGGTGTTCCACGTCTTCTTGGTGCTGTGCACGCTGGCTCAGCTGGAGGCTGTGGCACTGGACTATGAGTCCCGGCGGCCCATCTACGAGCCTCTGCACACCCGCTGGCCCCACGACTTCTCTGGCCTCTTCCTGCTCACTGCGGGCAGCAGTCTCCTCACTGCGTTCCTGCTGAGCCAGCTGGTGCGGCGCAGGCTTGATCAGAAGACCAAGTGAACGGGGAAGCAGCTGGTAGAGAAGGGGAAGTAGAGTGGGGGACAGAGGTCTGGCCTTGGCTTCAGAGGGGAACAAGTCCTGATAAAGTCGTTCATGTCTGGCCTGCGGTGACTGTGTGTACACCTCAACTGCCTGGGGCAGCACTGGCCAATCCCTGGGTTTGGAGATTGGCCGGGAGCTGCGGGGGTCTGCTCCTGGGCCTGCCCCAGCTTCCTGCCCTGAGAGAGGGAAAGAGAGAAAGGCATTGGCCGCCCTGGCTTGTCCCTCCTCTCCACTTACTGGGGTTGGAGCTGGGAGTCACCTTGAGTCAGGACCCCAGTTTGGGGCTTCCAGATTGTGGGTGGGAGGTAAAACTTAGGCCAGAGTCAGATTTGAGCTGAGAGGCAGGGGAGGCCTCAGCAACCCACCTCTACTCAGATTTCATGGGTGGATGGGGAAGGGGCAGGGCCCAAATACGTGTGGGATCTTGCCGTCCCTTGCAGTGCAGCCTGCAGCGTTGGAGCTCTGGAGACCCCCAAAGGTAGAAGATTGTGTCAGACATAAATGATCCCATCCAGTGCCTCATACCCCTTCAGTCTCCGTTCCAGACAGTGGCTCTGGCGTCTGTGTCCCACACAGCCTGTTCCCAGCTTCTCTCCGGCTTCCCTTGTTCATGATTCAATCATCTATTCAGTGTTTCCTGGGCCTCTGCTCAGAGGCAGGCCACCGGCTGGGCCCTGTGGATCCAAATGCAGCATGACAAAGGCTTTACTATCTGAATGAACTGTCAAGGGAAGCACTGAGAGGGAATAATCAAGACTGCCCAGGACCCTCTGTGTCTTGGGTTGGGAAGGATGAATAGGAGTTCGCAGATGTAGGATAGGAAGGGTGTTCCAAGCCGAGGGGAAAACCTGTGCAAAGGCCAACAGGTGCTGGAAGAAGCCGCTCAGTGGGGCTGGGGCTGGGGGTGGTCTGGACTGTAATATGCCCTGGATGTAATAAAGTGGCTGTGACAGTAGCTGCCTCTTTGCTCTTTGTCTCCTGTCCCAGGGAGGGGCCCCCACTCAGTGTTGGGGGAGGTTTTCTCGAGGAAGCTGAGTGGACACGGTAGAAAGGACAGTTCTTGTTTTATCTTTGCCTGGGGGTGGGGATGGGGGTGGGGGCTTATATTTTATATACATGTAGGTGAAATGTGTTTGGCAAGGGTGGGGGGGCAGTTTTGTTACTAAATAAATTTTAGTAATAAATGAATGAGTTTAAAATATATATAATCCCACTTTATAATTTGACAAAGATTTCATTTTTTGTTTTTTTCTTCAATCAAGAAGGCTTTTATATGCTAAATTTTATAATATTGCTTTTTTAATAGTATACAAGCAATGCGTGTAAAATGGAGGAAAATTAGGGAGATAAGGAAAAAACTCAAATGAGTAAGAAATATCACTCCACTGCTAAATTATCCTGGGGGACCTTGTGAGATATATATAATATGTGTATATTAATGCATATTTTGATATATATATATTAATAAAGCTTATAGATACATATCCATATATTCCATCTGTGGAGAAGGTGGTTAGGGGTGGAAGGATGGTTGAGATGCCAGCATTTTTGGATTTCTGAGGGACTTTCCACACTCCATCCTCTTTAAAATCCAAGGTTACATTTGGTGAAAACAGGTCTAAAAGCTAGTTGCAAATTTTTACTTAACCTTTTAAAAAATCCTCTTCCATGTGGTTTTGTAGTTACACTTAGATTTTCTTTTTTACTGACTAAAATAATTCACAAACTTGAGTGTTTGGTCATTTGGTCATTTAGGTTGAGGACCCCAGCTCTGGGGTCCACAGACCTGATCCTTCTTCCACTACTTCCCTCAGGAATGACTGCAAAGATTCAGCGATGAGATGAGGAAAGCCTTGAGCCCAGGGTAGTTACTATATTTGTTGTAGAACCTCAAATTCAAGCGTTTGTACCCCATAGGCAGCTAAAGCCAAACACTGTGACAATGGTGCTTGGAGATAAAGGTTTATTCAATTTGGCCAAAGCAAGAAGACAGGAGAGCAAGATTTGTTAGGTCCGTCTTCTGGAAGAGATGAAGGTGGAGGTTTTATGCAGGGTAAGAGAAGGGGTTCCAGGGACCTAGAGTGAAGTCTGTTTCTTCAGTCTCAGATGACATATTGAGCAACTAGACTTCTGCAGCTAACTTCCTCAAAGGCATTCATTCCTTCTGCAAAACAAACATACATTTTTCTTGTGACTCTAGAGTTGTCTCTGTTAACTTAAAAAAAAATAACTATGAAGGTTTCTACTTTGTGAAAAGGAGATCTTTATTTCTCGTGAAGGGTTCTCAACCTGCAGTGGCCATTCTGACAGGCTAGCAACCACCGCTCTGGCCCCAAGCCAAGAGCACATGTTTCGCGGGAGAGACAAAGGGAGCAGGATTTTATACAGTAGGGAGGCTAAATATACATATTTCACAAGCTATAGGATCATGAATATTTATGAAGAGAGCGTGCATGTGTAATTGTGCTTTACACCTCCCATCCCTTCACGGCTGGGAATTCAGTTTTAAGGTTTTCTCTGGGGTCCCCTTGGCCGAGGGGGGTCCGTTCAGTTGCGGGGGTGGTTAGGATTTTATTTTTATACCACCTCTACCGCTTGACAAAAACCAGCACACCGGCAGTTAATGATTACCGTGAGAACAAGCGGCATCTGCAGGCAGGAAGCGAATGCGTATCAGGTGCGCGCAACTAAGGGCCTAGTCAGAATTTACACCGTGTTGGTCACAAAAAATGCTGGGGTACTAAAATCTCAAGGGGCTCGGCTACATATTACAGCAAGAAATATGCAATTCAGCAAAAAAAAAAAAATGCACATTCTTGACAATGTGGAGAGCCGTTCACACAGCAGTTTCCGGAGTCCAGCTCCTGACAGAGGATACCAGGAAGAACACCCGCGCCGGGGCGAAGCCGTAGCCCCCAAGCACCGAAGGACCAGCGGCGTTGTTGCTAACGCGGAGGCGTGGCTATAAGAGGGGGCGGGGCTGACGCCGGGGGCGGGGCCTGCGCCGGGGCAGCCGCGGCGTAGCTCCGCCCGCGGCGTTGGCGCGAGATCCAAACGGTGGCGGCTGCGGCGGCGGTTCCGGTCGCTTTCTGAGGCGTCGCGAGCCGGGTCCGGTCTCTCGCTGTTCTCGTCTCCTCGGCAGCCATGAGTCGGAGGGGCGCCGAGGAGGAGGCCTGCGGCGTGTGGCTGGACGCGGCGGCGCTGAAGAGGCGGAGAGTGCAGGTGGGGCGCTGGCGGGTGGGAGGCCCTGGGCCGTTCACGGCGAGTAGAAGCCGGGGCCGGACTCTCATGCAGAGCGCGGGAGCGGCGTCACCCGAAAGGCTGGTACTAGGGTCCTGTTACGTCACTTCTGTCACCTCTGTTTACCTCCATACTGATCGAAGCCCGCAGAACATTAAAGGTCATTTAAGATGGGGTGACAAAACTGTGCTAGTGATAGTGATATGTGTTGTTTGCTTCACGTAGGAAATATATGTGAAGAAATTGAGCACAAATTGGAAAATTCTAGAGGTCATGAGTCCAAACTCCTCCTTTTACACAGTTTTGAACTGAGACTTGGGGAGGTGATATAACTTGATGGGTTAGTGTAGAAGCCAAAGTATATCCCAGTTCTCTTTGGTGCTAAGGATGTTTTTATTTTTTAAACGTTGCTTATGAATCATACTTGCCAGCTTGATTTTGTTAAGTTTGAAAAAAAGTTTGTTAGGTTTGAAAAAATATTATTTTCTTATAGTATGGAAACATGAACATCTTAAAACTTCACAACTTCTTCAGGTAAAACTGTTTGGGACGCGGGGGCTCACGCCTGTAATTTTAGCGCTCTGGGAGGCCCAGGCTGGAGGATCGCTTGAGCTCAGGAGTCCCAGACCAGCTTGAGCGAGAGTGAGACCGTGTTCTACACAAATAGAAAAATTAGGTGTTAGTGGTAGTGTGCACTTGTGGTCCCAGGTACTTGGGATGCTGTGGCGGGAGGATCACTGGAGCCCAGGACTTTGAGGTTGCAGCGAGCTGTGATGATGCCACTGCACTCTAGCCCAGGCGACACAGCAAGGGAAAAAAAAAAAAAAAGACGTGTTGAGTGTTGTCTCTAGGAAACAAAGGAAACTGACTCAAAACAAAGGAAACACCCTCAGGGTAAGAATTCCTCAAATCTGCATATGTATCCATCTCCCATTTTCTCAGCCTTACTAGTAGTGTCTTGTGGAGACTCTTAAGCTCCTAAGGAGTCTGCTCAATTAAACTCCTCAAAGCAACTTCCACCTCTCACGCTGCCTGGAAACCCTTGTTTCCTGTAATCTCCACATCATTTCAACGCAATAAAAGAGTAGGGGAGGTTTTAAAGAGACAGCTTCTAATACATCTTGCCCTTTGGAATCACTGAAGCAAAGAATGTTATCTGTTTTTAAAATTAAGAATATGAAATATATAACTTTGTTCAGTTAAATACGAATCTTCCTTCGTATGTAGTATAGATTATTTTTTTTTTTTTGAGACAGATCTCACTTTGTTGCCTGGGCTAGAGTGTTGAGGCGTTAGCCTAGCTCACAGCAACCTCAAACTCCTGGGCTCAAGCAATTCTCCCTGGCTCAGCTTCCCAAGTAGCTTGGATTATAGCAGTTTTTTTGGGCCCCACCATGCCTGCTAATTTTTCTATATACTTATTGTCCCGCTAATTCTTTCTAAGTTTAGTAGAGATGGGTTCCTAGCTCCCTTTTCTTGAAATGCAGAATTTCATTAGAAATTGTACAAAGAAAAAAATCACGCCTGTAAGAAGACCAGGTGAAAGGTTCCAATCAAAGCATGGAGTTTAGGGCACGAAAGTTGAAAAGGCCACAAAAGAGAAATAGCACCATTGTCATTGAACAATGGCAGTTACTTGTATTGTGCATTGTTTTTTTGAGACAGAGTCCTCACTTTGTTGGCCCAGGCTAGAGGGTGCCGTGCGTCAGCCTGCGCTCACAGCACCTCAATCCTCCGGACTCCAGCGATCCTACTGCCTCCAGCCTCCGAGTAGCGGAACTTACAAGGGCATCGCACCCTATGCCCGCTAATTTTTTTTTTTTGTAATACTACTTTTGTAGTTGGTCATAATTTATTTCTATTTGGTAGAGTCGTGGTTCGCTCAGGCTGGTTTGACACTCCGACCTTGAGCCAATCCACCCGCCAGGCCCCAAATGCAGAATACAGGCCGTGACACCACTGCCACACTATTTTTGGCATTTGTTTAACTCAATGAATCGGTTTTCTTGCCGAATTCAGCACAGCAGCATGCCACTATACAATTTTACATAAAATACTGCTTCTAACACATTTTAAGGACCAACTACCACAGAACAAACATACAAATATCAGGGGCGAACAACTCAGTATGGTGTGAACACACATATTTGCGCAGAATCTGCCAAACAAAGGTTGAATATGGCTGTGGGCAAAGAAATAATGAGGAGAGTGAAGAAGGAAATATTTAAAATTAAAATCGACATGGTACTGTATTTCGCAAAGAAATTAACAGTAACACACTAAGAATTATCGCAAAGATGATTAGTGCACTGGCAAAGTATCCAGCTAACATTGAGGCTTGGCCAGCAGATACCAAAAACACCTCAGCCTGCAGATCCAAGGTAAACGACTGCCTCACGATCACTCCTTTGCAGAGTCCAGAAAAAACTTGCACGAGATCACCTCGCCTGCTGCACTTTCAACCTAGCGCAACTTAGGACCAAAGAGGAATCCCAGTGGGCCAAGGAACAGAGAAGAGAAACCATGTTTAAATGTAAACCTTAAAAGAAGTAAAAGAAAAACCCCAATTCAAATCCCAGAGAATGGGGCAAACCCCAAATGTAGTTGTTGGATTAAAAAAACCTGACACCACCTCATTCCCAAAAAGCATAATACATAGAAATCAAGGATTGGAAATGTCAGAGAAACGCTCAAAGAAAATCAAGTTCTCAACTCCTAAAATCCAGGGCGAAACACCTCTACTTCATCCAGGCAATAATCCTCTTGGCCTTTTTTAAGCAGGTTGGCAATGGCAACTACATCAAATGGTTACAGAGCAACCTTTTCAAACATTCTTGTTGGCCAAAGCCTAGGCCCTTGTGAGGATCAAGCAGCCCCTGTAAGACCCGTGACAGCCAGTTTCGCAAAGGTTCGAGGTCTGGCTCCTCCTTCCCAAGACACAAAATCTTCTGTCATATGTATAATTGAATCCGGAAGCATATGTTTAAATACCTTAAGGCATTATTATTACATGTTCGCCAAGATTATCACATTAGCTAAAACAATCTCAGTTTACATTCTCTACCTGAGGGTTGCCACCCTCCAGCGTATAGTAACACCTCTCCAGCGATCAGTGGACCGCCTCCACACGGTGAGCCCGTGCAGCCTCTCCTGTCCCAGTGACCAACAGATGTCAATACTGCTCTCCTAAACAAGTCAAAGCTCCTAACTCTAAACTGATTGGAAGAGGAGTGAAACTCTTGCAAAGCGCACTTTAAGAAAGGTACTTTTGCTAATGAAAAGAAACAATGAAGTCCTGTATAATAAAGGGAGTATTCCACATTAACACAGATTTGGAGTGAAGAATTCAATGTTGTTCTGCTAGCCAGCATGTAATACTCTTTGTCCCCCACCCTCATCAGGTGTACAATAGCCTTCATCTGTGGCATAGAAAATGTCTACGATTCTCTGCAATACAGGGTCATTTTCCCCCTCTTCTGGCAAATCAATTCAACGTTCCTTAGCTTTCCGAAGTAGAAATCTCTCTCTTTCTCCAAGTCTTCGCCAGTAAGTTTCAATACGTTGACCTGCTGCATCAACTTGGCTGTTTATTTATCCCCGTTGCCCACACTGGGATTCTTCTACTCCACCCCCTGGCCGGCCTTAGGCATAGAAGTAGTTCTCTGTGTTGAAGCGGGCCTCTGTGGAGCTGCACTGCTAGTACTGAGAAGTTTCTTCTGTTTATTCTGAGCTGGAGCAACAAGGGAGGGAGCCACTGCAGTTTCTTGACTTTGTCTGGCAGCCACAGGGTCATAGTCTTTTCCATCATAGTTTGCATCAAAAAATTTCTTGAACCACTGAACAAATTCAAAATTGTCCTGAAATTTCCTTTTACTAATTTATTCACAGGAATTATTTTGTCGACACCCATCCTCTTAAAACTCGCTTGTAATATTTTGAAGTTCTGAATGCACTCATGTTCTAGCTTAGCTTGGAATTTCACTTTCTTCAATGCAGTGGATCCAGGGAACAGCATGTCCATAAACTGACAATAGGCAGCTTGTGAGCACAACTGTTCAATCTTTGTCAAATGCAACTGCAGAGACTCATTGATCCAACCCAGCATATCATGTCTACTTAAGTTATCACTGGTGACTTACGTCGAATGTACATTCACTGCCATCTTTGGCTCTCAGCGGAACCGTGGCTATTGCCCACGCCCGGCTTCGGTTTCGTCTTCGTCTCCTTCAAACCGCCAATCCCTGGTGTCTTGCTTTTGCTCAGGCCGGTTTCAAACTTCTGACCTCGAGCAATCTGCCTGCCTTGGCCTCCCAGAGTGCTAGGATTACACCCGTGAGCCACCGCACCTGGCCTAAACTGAATTTAAATGCTGCAGAACCATGAGAACATTTTACCAAGGGGTTTGGTCCTACAGGAACCCTATGCCTCTTAGGCAGGCTTTCTTACACAGACATTCCTCAGAGATACTGCAGGTTCAGTTCTAGACCACCTCAGTAAAGTGAGTCACACAATTTTTTTTGTTTCTCAGTGCATATAAAAGTTATACTGTAGTTTATTGAGTGTGCTGCAATAGCATATATCTAAAACAACAATGTAAATACCTTCATTAAAAATACTTTATTGCGGCCGGGCGTGGTAGCTCATGCCTGTAATCCTAGCACTTTGGGAGGCCGAGGCGGGCAGATTGCTCAAGGTCAGGAGTTCGAAACCAGCCTGAGTGAGACCCCGTCTCTACCAAAAATAGAAATAAATTAATTGACCAACTAAAATATATATACAAAAAATTAGCGGGCATGGTGGCGCATGCCTGTAGTCCCAGCTACTTGGGAGGCTGAGGCAGGAGGATCGCTGAGCCCCAGAGATTGAGGTTGCTGTGAGCCAGGCTAACGCCACAGCACTCACTCTAGCCTGGGCAACAAAGTGAGACTCTGTCTCCAAAAAAAAAAAAAAAAAAAATACTTTATTGCTAAGAATGCTACCAA